CAGATAATCATCACTGGTGTTAGCCGTGAGCGGGAATCGAACCCGGGTCGCCAGGTTCATAGCGCAGCATAGCGCTAACCGCTACACTACCGCTCCCCTACATACACACACATACACACACGTACACACATACATACATACACACACACATACACACATACATACATATACATACACACACATACACACATACATACATACACACATACACACACACATACATACACACATACACATATACATACATATACACACATATACATACACACACATACACACATACATACACACATACAACAACAACAACCGCCATTCGCCACTAAGTATCGGTGACGTCACCACGACGCTTGTGCCAGGCTATGTGCACCCTGAGGCCACGTGAAGTGTCGAACGCCCGCTGGCAGGAGGTCACGGGGCAGACCCAGGTGCCACGGGTCGACTGACTGAGATGACTGGCTGATGCACCACCTGTGCCCCCTACTGTGCCAACCTGCTGTGCTTTAGCCACCCGGCGCTCCCCTCGTTGTTGTGAGCGTCGCTCCTCCGCCCTCCGTTGTTGTTGGAGGGCGACTGCCTCCAACTGCCCAGTAGCATCCTTCACGAGCCTCCTCCACAGAAGCCGATCTTGACACCGCTGGTACCAGTCATCGGCAAGTCCACTCAGCTCCACGTCCTCCTGTACCACATCACTCCATCTCTTCTCTAGCCCGTGCCGCGCCCGCTTAGCCCCCTCAATCCCGCCGAACAAAAGCTGTTTCGGCATGCGTTGGCTGGGCATGCGGGCTACATGACCCAGCCATCGCAGCCTTGCCCGCCGGAGGAGCTCACCGATGGGACCTTGCCCAGATCTTTCAAGGATTTGTGAGCTCCTCACACAATCCAGTCTGGTTAAACCCAGGATGGATCGTAGGCAGGGCAGCCTAAATGTTTCTAACCGGCGAAGATGTTCCATTAGGGGGTCCACGTTTCGCAAGCGTAGAGAAGGGAGGGAATGACCGTGGCCGAGAAGACCTGAAGCTTAGTGCGGAGCGACAGACCAGGTATCTTCCACACAGCGTTACGCAACCGATGAAAAGATATTGCCGCTTGACTGATTCGGAGTGAGACCTCTGCTGTTAAACTGGAGCCAGTCTTAAGCACACTGCCCAGGTATGGGATACTCTCCACTCTCTCCACAACTGCCCCATCACCGATTGGGAGTTGTGGGCGTGGAGTGTCCGATGGTACAAAATATCCAGGCAGGTGCTTAGTTTTGGTGGGGCTGATGGTAAGGCCCCATCTCTTAGTGGCATGCTCCAGTCTCAGCAGCAGCGTCTCCAACTCCTCCTCTGAATGAGCAGCTATTACCAAATCATCAGCATACATAACGTGGTTGAGCAATATGGAGCCATCCCTTGACCGCACCCAGGCATCGATCAGCCTCCCATTATATTTGTACCATATGGAGATTCCCCTGGTACAGCTATTTAAGGCTTCACGAATTATGTGGTCAAAATAGATGTTAAATAATGTGGGAGCCAGAGGACATCCCTGTCGCACCCCAAGGTGTACAGGGAATGGCTCTGACTCCCGGCCACGTAGTTTTACCCGGGCCCGCTCACCATCATGAAGGTCCTTAATGATCGTGAGCAGAGGGTCGGGGACTCCAAAAGCACGAAGAACAACCCAGAGCCCAGGCCTACTGATGGTATCATAGGCCTTGACCAGGTCAATAAAGCAGAGATGTAGGTCTTACTGGAATTCCCTACACCTCTTAAAGAGGGGGACCACCAGGGCATCCTTCCAATCCTGCAGAACCCGTCCAGTGGTCCAGATTGTTGTTATGATGTCATATAGGGCAGTCTGTGCACAAACTACACTCTCTCTCAGCATTTTGCTTGGGAGATCATCTCTGCCCACTGCCTTTCCTGGTCTCAGACTCCGGATCGCCTTCATTAATTCCTCAAAAGATGGCACCTCAGCCAGCCACTCACAGGGGGTGATTTCTTCCAATATTTGAGGCACTGCAGCCTCAGCAGGGTTATCCCCACTTTGTGCCACGATGTTTTCCTGGCTGAGGGATTTCCACTCCCCCAGGACCTCACAGAAATGCTCAGCAAATCTGCAAACCTGTTCCTGGGGGTCGGAGATTGGATCACCGTTTTTTCCTCCTCACACAATCCATCCTGGGCTTAACCAGGCTGGATTGTGTGAGGAGCTCACGAATCCTTGAAAGATCTGGGCACGGTCCCATCGGTGAGCTCCTCCGGCAGGCAAGGCTGCGTTGGCTGGGTCATGTAACCCGCATGCCCAGCCTCCGCATGCCGAAACAGCTTTTGTTCGCCCGGATTGAGGGGGCTAAACGGGCGCGGCACGGGCAAGAGAAGAGATGGAGTAAAGTGGTACAGGAGGACGTGGAGCTTAGTAGACTTGCCGATGACTGGTACCAGCAGTGTCAAGATCGGCCTCTGTGGAGGAGGCTCGTGAAGGACGCTACTGGGCAGTTGGAGGTAGTCGCCCTCCAACAACAACGGAGGGCGGAGGAGCGACGCTCACAACAACGAGCGGAGCGCCGGGTGGCTAAAGCACAGCAGGTTGGCACAGTAGGGGGCACAGGTGGTGCACCAGCCAGTCATCTCAGTCAGTCGACCCGTGGCACCTGGGTCTGCCCCGTGACCTCCTGCCAGCGGGCGTTCGACACTTCACGTGGCCTCAAAGTGCGCATAGCCTGGCACAAGCGTCGTGGTGACGTCACCGCCACTTAGTGGCGAATGGCGGTTGTTGTTGTGTGTGTGTGTATATATATATCTGCGTGTGTGTGTGTATATCTGCGTGTGTGTGTGTATATCTGCGTGTGTGTGTGTATATCTGCGTGTGTGTGTGTATATCTGCGTGTGTGTGTGTGTGTATATCTGCGTGTGTGTGTGTGTATATCTGCGTGTGTGTGTGTATATCTGCGTGTGTGTGTATATCTGCGTGTGTGTGTATATCTGCGTGTGTGTGTGTGTATATCTGCGTGTGTGTGTGTGTATATCTGCGTGTGTGTGTGTATATATCTGCGTGTGTGTGTGTGTGTATATCTGTGTGTGTGTGTATATATATCTGCGTGTGTGTGTATATATCTGCGTGTGTGTGTATATATCTGCGTGTGTGTGTATATATCTGCGTGTGTGTGTATATATCTGCGTGTGTGTGTATATCTGCGTGTGTGTGGGTATATCTGCGTGTGTGTGTGTATATCTGCGTGTGTGTGTGTATATCTGCGTGTGTGTGTGTGTGTATATATCTGCATGTGTGTGTGTGTGTATCTGCGTGTGTGTGTATATATCTGCGTGTGTGTGTATATATCTGCGTGTGTGTGTGTGTATATATATCTGCGTGTGTGTGTGTATATCTGCGTGTGTGTGTATATCTGCGTGTGTGTGTATATCTGCGTGTGTGTGTGTATATCTGCGTGTGTGTGTGTGTGTATATATCTGCGTGTGTGTGTGTGTATATCTGTGTGTGTGTGTGTATATATATATCTGCGTGTGTGTGTATATATCTGCGTGTGTGTGTGTGTGTATCTGCGTGTGTGTGTATATATCTGCGTGTGTGTGTATATATCTGCGTGTGTGTGTATATCTGCATGTGTGTGGGTATATCTGCGTGTGTGTGTGTGTATATATCTGCGTGTGTGTGTGTGTATATATATCTGCGTGTGTATATCTGCGTGTGTGTGTATATATCTGCGTGTGTGTGTGTGTATATATCTGCGTGTGTGTGTATATATCTGCGTGTGTGTGTATATATCTGCGTGTGTGTGTGTGTATCTGCGTGTGTGTGTATATCTGCGTGTGTTGTGTGTGTGTGTCTGCGTGTGTGTGTATATCTGCGTGTGTGTGTATATCTACGTGTGTGTGTGTGTATATCTGCGTGTGTGTGTGTGTATATCTGCGTGTGTGTGTGTATATCTGCGTGTGTGTGTGTGTGTATATCTGCGTGTGTGTGTGTATCTGCGTGTGTGTGTATATCTGCGTGTGTGTGTGTGTATATCTGCGTGTGTTGTGTGTGTGTATATCTGCGTGTGTTGTGTGTGTGTATCTGCGTGTGTGTGTGTATATCTGCATGTGTGTGGGTATATCTGCGTGTGTGTGTGTATATATCTGCGTGTGTGTGTGTGTATATATATCTGCGTGTGTATATCTGCGTGTGTGTGGGTATATCTGCGTGTGTGTGTGTGTATATATCTGCGTGTGTGTGTATATATCTGCGTGTGTGTGTGTGTGTATCTGCGTGTGTGTGTATATCTGCGTGTGTTGTGTGTGTGTGTCTGCGTGTGTGTGTATATCTGCGTGTGTGTGTATATCTACGTGTGTGTGTGTGTGTATATCTGCGTGTGTGTGTGTATATCTGCGTGTGTGTGTGTATATCTGCGTGTGTGTGTGTATATCTGCGTGTGTGTGTGTATATCTGCGTGTGTGTGTGTGTGTATATCTGCGTGTGTGTGTGTGTATCTGCGTGTGTGTGTATATCTGCGTGTGTGTGTATATCTGCGTGTGTGTGTGTGTATATCTGCGTGTGTGTGTATATCTGTGTGTGTGTGTGTATATCTGCGTGTGTTGTGTGTGTGTATCTGCGTGTGTGTGTATATCTGTGTGTGTGTGTATATCTGCGTGTGTGTGTGTGTGTATATCTGCGTGTGTGTGTATATCTGCGTGTGTGTGTATATCTGTGTGTGTGTATATCTGCGTGTGTGTGTATATCTGCGTGTGTGTGTGTGTATATCTGCGTGTGTGTGTATATCTGCGTGTGCGTGTATATCTGCGTGTGTGTGTATATCTGCGTGTGTGTGTATATCTGCGTGTGTGTGTGTGTGTGTATATCTGCGTGTGTGCGTGGCATTTGCGAGTGCTTCAGTTTGACGTGGACAAGGAGGCTGGCGACCGCCAGATCTACCACCGCTACTGCATGGAGCGCGCGGCCATGCACTGTGCCCACACCTTCACCACCGTGTCGCAGATCACCGGAGTGGAGGCACAGCACCTGCTCAAGAGGAAACCCGGTGGGTGGCTGGCTGGCTGGGTGCTGGGGTGGGTGGTGGGGTGGGTGGCGGGTGGGGTGGGTGGTGGGGTTGGTGGGTGGTGGTGCGGGTGGACCGGACCTCTGGGCCAGAGTAAGACGACTCGGGGAGACCCAGAGACATGGTCTCCCTGAGTCTCACTCTGACCCAGAGACACAGTCTCCCTGAGTCTCACTTTGACCCAGAGACACGGTCTCCCTGAGTCTCACTGTGACCCAGAGACACGGTCTCCCTGAGTCTCACTCTGACCCAGAGACACGGTCTCCCTGAGTCTCACTTTGACCCAGAGACACGGTCTCCCTGAGTCTCACTCTGAGCCAGAGACACGGTCTCCCTGAGTCTCACTTTGACCCAGAGACACGGTCTCCCTGAGTCTCACTCTGAACCAGAGACACGGTCTCCCTGAGTCTCACTCTGAGCCAGAGACACGGTCTCCCTGAGTCTCACTGTGACCCAGAGACATGGCCTCCCTGAGTCTCACTCTGACCCAGAGACACGGTCTCCCTGAGTCTCACTCTGAACCAGAGACACGGTCTCCCTGAGTCTCACTCTGACCCAGAGACACGGTCTCCCTGAGTCTCACTCTGACCCAGAGACACGGTCTAACTGAGTCTCACTCTGACCCATAGAGACGGTCTCCCTGAGTCTCACTCTGACCCAGAGACACGGTCTCCCTGAGTCTCACTCTGACCCAGAGACACGGTCTAACTGAGTCTCACTCTGACCCATAGAGACGGTCTCCCTGAGTCTCACTTTGACCCAGAGACACGGACTCCCTGAGTCTCACTCTGAGCCAGAGACACGGCCTCCCTGAGTATCACTCTGACCCAGAGACACGGTCTCCCTGAGTCTCACTCTGACCCAGAGACACGGCCTCCCTGAGTCTCACTCTGACCCAGAGACACGGCCTCCCTGAGTATCACTCTGACCGAGAGACACGGTCTCCCTGAGTCTCACTTTGACCCAGAGACACGGTCTCCCTGAGTCTCACTCTGAGCCAGAGACACGGCCTCCCTGAGTATCACTCTGACCCAGAGACACGGTCTCCCTGAGTCTCACTGTGACCCAGGGACACGGTCTCCTTGAGTCTCACTCTGAGCCAGAGACACGGTCTCCCTGAGGCTCACTCTGACCCAGCGACACGGTCTCCCTGAGTCTCAATCTGACCCAGAGGCACGGTCTCCCTGAGTCTCAATCTGAGCCAGAGGCACGGTCTCCCTGAGTCTCACTCTGACCCAGAGACACGGTCTCCCTGAGTCTCACTCTGACCCAGAGACATGGTCTCCCTGAGTCTCACTCTGACCCAGAGACACGGTCTCCCTGAGTCTCAATCTGACCCAGAGACACGGTCTCCCTGAGTTTCACTCTGACCTAGAGACACGGTCTCCCTGAGTCTCAATCTGAGCCAGAGGCACGGTCTCCCTGAGTCTTAATCTGAGCCAGAGGCACGGTCTCCCTGAGTCTCAATCTGAGCCAGAGGCACGGTCTCCCTGAGTCTCACTCTGAGCCAGAGACACGGTCTCCCTGAGTCTCACTCTGACCCAGAGACACGGTCTCCCTGAGTCTCACTCTGACCCAGAGACACGGTCTCCCTGAGTCTCACTCTGACCCAGAGACACGGTCTCCCTGAGTCTCACTCTGAGCCAGAGACACCGTTTCCCTGAGTCTCACTCTGACCCAGGGACATGGTCTCCCTGAATCTCACTCTGACCCAGAGACACGGTCTCCCTGAGTCTCAATCTGACCCAGAGACACGGTTTCCCTGAGTCTCACTGTGACCCAGGGACACGGTCTCCTTGAGTCTCACTCTGAGCCAGAGACACGGTCTCCCTGAGGCTCACTCTGACCCAGCGACACGGTCTCCCTGAGTCTCAATCTGACCCAGAGGCACGGTCTCCCTGAGTCTCAATCTGAGCCAGAGGCACGGTCTCCCTGAGTCTCACTCTGACCCAGAGACACGGTCTCCCTGAGTCTCACTCTGACCCAGAGACATGGTCTCCCTGAGTCTCACTCTGACCCAGAGACACGGTCTCCCTGAGTCTCACTCTGAGCCAGAGACACCGTTTCCCTGAGTCTCACTCTGACCCAGGGACATGGTCTCCCTGAATCTCACTCTGACCCAGAGACACGGTCTCCCTGAGTCTCACTCTGACCCAGAGACACGGTCTCCCTGAGTCTCACTCTGACCCAGAGACACGGTCTAACTGAGTCTCACTCTGACCCATAGAGACGGTCTCCCTGAGTCTCACTCTGAGCCAGAGACACGGTCTCCCTGAGTCTCACTCTGACCCAGAGACACGGTCTCCCGGAGTCTCACTCTGAGCCAGAGACACGGTCTCCCTGAGTCTCACTGTGACCCAGAGACATGGCCCTCCCTGAGTCTCACTCTGACCCAGAGACACGGTCTCCCTGAGTCTCACTCTGAACCAGAGACACGGTCTCCCTGAGTCTCACTCTGACCCAGAGACACGGTCTCCCTGAGTCTCACTCTGACCCAGAGACACGGTCTAACTGAGTCTCACTCTGACCCATAGAGACGGTCTCCCTGAGTCTCACTTTGACCCAGAGACACGGCCTCCCTGAGTCTCACTCTGAGCCAGAGACACGGCCTCCCTGAGTATCACTCTGACCCAGAGACACGGTCTCCCTGAGTCTCACTCTGACCCAGAGACACGGCCTCCCTGAGTCTCACTCTGACCCAGAGACACGGCCTCCCTGAGTATCACTCTGACCGAGAGACACGGTCTCCCTGAGTCTCACTTTGACCCAGAGACACGGTCTCCCTGAGTCTCACTCTGAGCCAGAGACACGGCCTCCCTGAGTATCACTCTGACCCAGAGACACGGTCTCCCTGAGTCTCACTCTGACCCAGAGACACGGTCTAACTGAGTCTCACTCTGACCCATAGAGACGGTCTCCCTGAGTCTCACTTTGACCCAGAGACACGGCCTCCCTGAGTCTCACTCTGAGCCAGAGACACGGCCTCCCTGAGTATCACTCTGACCCAGAGACACGGTCTCCCTGAGTCTCACTCTGACCCAGAGACACGGCCTCCCTGAGTCTCACTCTGACCCAGAGACACGGCCTCCCTGAGTATCACTCTGACCGAGAGACACGGTCTCCCTGAGTCTCACTTTGACCCAGAGACACGGTCTCCCTGAGTCTCACTCTGAGCCAGAGACACGGCCTCCCTGAGTATCACTCTGACCCAGAGACACGGTCTCCCTGAGTCTCACTCTGACCCAGAGACACGGTCTAACTGAGTCTCACTCTGACCCATAGAGACGGTCTCCCTGAGTCTCACTTTGACCCAGAGACACGGCCTCCCTGAGTCTCACTCTGAGCCAGAGACACGGCCTCCCTGAGTATCACTCTGACCCAGAGACACGGTCTCCCTGAGTCTCACTCTGACCCAGAGACACGGCCTCCCTGAGTCTCACTCTGACCCAGAGACACGGCCTCCCTGAGTATCACTCTGACCGAGAGACACGGTCTCCCTGAGTCTCACTTTGACCCAGAGACACGGTCTCCCTGAGTCTCACTCTGAGCCAGAGACACGGCCTCCCTGAGTATCACTCTGACCCAGAGACACGGTCTCCCTGAGTCTCACTCTGACTTAGAGACACGGTCTCCCTGAGTCTCACTCTGAGCCAGAGACACGGTCTCCCTGAGTCTCACTCTGACCCAGAGACACAGTCTCCCTGAGTCTCACTCTGACCCAGAGACACGGTCTCCCTGAGTCTCAATCTGAGCCAGAGACACGGTCTCCCTGAGTCTCAATCTGACCCAGAGACACGGTCTCCCTGAGTTTCACTCTGACCTAGAGACACGGTCTCCCTGAGTCTCAATCTGAGCCAGAGGCACGGTCTCCCTGAGTCTTAATCTGAGCCAGAGGCACGGTCTCCCTGAGTCTCAATCTGAGCCAGAGGCACGGTCTCCCTGAGTCTCACTCTGAGCCAGAGACACGGTCTCCCTGAGTCTCACTCTGACCCAGAGACACGGTCTCCCTGAGTCTCACTCTGACCCAGAGACACGGTCTCCCTGAGTCTCACTCTGACCCAGAGACACGGTCTCCCTGAGTCTCACTCTGAGCCAGAGACACCGTTTCCCTGAGTCTCACTCTGACCCAGGGACATGGTCTCCCTGAATCTCACTCTGACCCAGAGACACGGTCTCCCTGAGTCTCACTCTGACCCAGAGACACGGTCTCCCTGAGTCTCACTCTGACCCAGAGACACGGTCTAACTGAGTCTCACTCTGACCCATAGAGACGGTCTCCCTGAGTCTCACTCTGAGCCAGAGACACGGTCTCCCTGAGTCTCACTCTGACCCAGAGACACGGTCTCCCGGAGTCTCACTCTGAGCCAGAGACACGGTCTCCCTGAGTCTCACTGTGACCCAGAGACATGGCCTCCCTGAGTCTCACTCTGACCCAGAGACACGGTCTCCCTGAGTCTCACTCTGAACCAGAGACACGGTCCTCCCTGAGTCTCACTCTGACCCAGAGACACGGTCTCCCTGAGTCTCACTCTGACCCAGAGACACGGTCTACCTGAGTCTCACTCTGACCCAGAGAGACGGTCTCCCTGAGTCTCACTCTGACCCAGAGACACGGCCTCCCTGAGTCTCACTCTGAGCCAGAGACACGGCCTCCCTGAGTATCACTCTGACCCAGAGACACGGTCTCCCTGAGTCTCACTCTGACCCAGAGACACGGCCTCCCTGAGTCTCACTCTGACCCAGAGACACGGCCTCCCTGAGTATCACTCTGACCGAGAGACACGGTCTCCCTGAGTCTCACTTTGACCCAGAGACCACGGTCTCCCTGAGTCTCACTCTGAGCCAGAGACACGGCCTCCCTGAGTATCACTCTGACCCAGAGACACGGTCTCCCTGAGTCTCACTCTGACCCAGAGACACGGTCTAACTGAGTCTCACTCTGACCCATAGAGACGGTCTCCCTGAGTCTCACTATGACCCAG